CACTTCCACAGCAACACAAGTTCCTACTCTCTTTTGGATTGTCTTCTACCTGTAATAAGTCCTAGAAATCCTTCAACAACATGAGGTCTCATCACTTAGCAGTCACACAGCTGATTACAGACACCAGGTCTCTCTTAACTCAGGTTCACGGAAGCTGCCACTAGACTCAAAAATAGCCCTTCCCCTCTTCTCCCAAGCCCAAATAGTGAACAATGGAAAGCACAGTTCCCATATGAATGGCCTTCTTTTTTCCCCTAGATGCTGCTTTCTGAGAAAAAAAAACCCAAACAAAACAAAAGAATTAAATTTCTCTCATGTTCCAGAAACGCTGCATGAAAAACTGTATTAATTTGAAGTGCAGAATTCCATGAACTTTTGAATGTGGGCACATTACACTACTATCCACTTTAAATGCCATTCATGATCACTACAAGAGCGACGGGTCACTTTAAAAAACAGGAACCAAACATTCATAAAGTTGATTTAAAACAAGGATACTCATTTTCAAAAAACACGTATTTGCTCACCTTTGAAAGACTCTTACTTTCTTGTCTGATTGGATATGTTTGCTCAGAAGATTCACTGACTAGTTCTGAACCATTATAGTGTGTTGAGTTGTTAGAACGATATTGTGAGCCAGCTACTGGATACGCATTTGCCACAACATCAGGTGGGTAAGAGCAGCTGGAATATTCACGGAAGGCAGGATCTCCCAGACCACTGTGTGATGGACATTGAGAAAGAAATTAAAGTCATCCTGGTGCAAGTCTTCAGCATCTACTTGTTGCCTAGACAAACATATCATTCCTTGGCTAATGAACTTGTTTAACAAGAAAGCTCTATTTCAAAGGAAAACAATTCCATGTTATTTCACTTAAGCATTTACTCACTGCTACACATCTCTTTAAAAATAACAGATTTTGTTTCGTGAAAACATGCAGTTGAGCAAATATCTTAAAGTACAGAAGTTATCAATTTCCAAGTTTCAAAGCTAGTCTGCTTTGAGGTTATAGTTCTCATGTCTGTTTCAGGGTACCAAGATTCTTCATATTTATTTTCAGTAGGCTTTTTCTTGTGAAACAAACCAAAAGCACAGTGTAATGACAGGACATGAGTCACACAGTTGACTGCAAAAATACAAACGTTAAACCCCATCTTAAAATGCCATAATAACAAAGTAGGAGTATACCACTTCATGGGGTACAAAACACGCTTGAAATATGACGTAGACTTGTAAGATAATAATTAACCGACCTGCATTTAACCATAACAATTTACGAAAACACAACATCTGGGGCATGCCTCTTCCCTTCAAATGTATGCTCAAAAGCTCCCTTTCACTTTCCATCCACACTTAGTCCAGAAAATATATACTGAGTCCAGATTTGATTAGGGAGAATGGAAATTTACAAGCTTAAGAAAGCTGCATTTAGTTTTTAAAGCTGTTCACTATGAAGTGGCCAGCCTTGGAATTCTGGGTAGACAATGACAAACAGAGAAACTTTCCCATCAAAACAGAAGACTTCAGATAACACGTTTAATACTGACTGTTGCAATTCTGATAGACTGTAGTTAAAACAATGCTTATAATCAGTTTATACAGAGAATAAACGTTAAATAAGACTCAAAAATATATGTCCCAGCTCCAACAAGGCAAAACATTCATCAGAATATTGCTGCTGTTTTTTTGTTGTTTTTTTTAATATGAACTGATTTAATGCTAATGCTGTGGTTTTCTCCTAATGCATACATCAGGCCATAACTCACCTCAACATTATATCTATATGACAAATGAAAATAGGTTGAAAATACTGACATTTCCTGTAGGATAAAATGAAGGCCTACAATGACCATGTTTAATAAGGCTGTACTTGTAAGGACACACCAATAACTTCGTAGTGATTGGATAATTAATCCAATGCTTGGGGTCCCGAGAAGCAATGAGGGAACCCTGTAACACCATCAGATTCTTACAAGACTCAACTATTTCCCACCCTACTATGTAGCCTTTTTTCCGGTTTGCTCTGGATTTAAAAATACTTTTTTAAGTCTATGTCTTTTCTCAGGCCCTAACTGAAAAAAAATAAAACCAAACCCAAAAAACCAAACCAAACAAAAAACCCCAAGACTTTTAGAAACCCACAGCACTCTTACTAAAACTGCCTTTCTGGGGATGCATAGGTCGTGGAGAGGAGATCCAGGTAAGGCCCCATATATTAAACGCTTTACAGCACAAGAAGCCTTCTTGAAGACTCCTCCTCTTCCTTTTATACAACTATATCTAGCCCAGCTCGGTCATAATGCAACCCTTCTTTCACCCAAGGACTGGATTCAGCTCCTTCCAAAGCACAAACAAGCCACATCAATCACTGGAGACCACCACATCCTCCTTAATGCCCTGTAACCATACAGGCCTGTGGGAGCAAGATACCAGACACATGCCCAAAGAACATTGATGCAAAAACCTAAATCATGAAGACAATGCAGAAGCACTTCTACAGTTAGACTATTAACGTATCGGAGCCCTGACTTCTGATGCGTATTCAAAGTCCAAAACCAGAAGGTTAAAATCCCCCAAGAAATAAGATTCAGAAAATATACATACTTATCCAAAGATGGTTCCTGAACAAATGGGTAGCATGTAGTTAAGTACCTAGGAAAGACACATGCTTCTGAGGGTTCTGACCATGCCACAGTTACCGCCGCATGTTTTGGAACAAATGGTTTGACCTCTGCTGACAACTTGATGCCCTGAGAAACAAAACGGGTTTTGGCTACATGCATTTGGAGATTAATGTTATAAGTGAAAAATACTCAGTCTTGTGACCTTAAGTGTCATTGGAAAGTGTTAGTTTCCTCTCTTCTAACAAAACATGCAAACCAATAAGCTCACCAAAAAGAAATGGAGGAAGAGGGTGAAAAAAACCCCAAGGAATTCTAAAGAAAAATAGGACCACTCTGAAAAGTTATTTAATACCCTCACTTATGAAACACTCACACAGGTCAGTTACATAAAGGACAGAAGCTTGCTTAAGATAAGATGCAGTAAATGCAAATATGCAAATTCTTACTTCACATTTGAACAGTATAAGCTAAAATTCAAAAATATACTTGCATTACTGCTAATCAAACTCGGGATGTAACAATCATGTCTTAGAGCACATCTGTATTTTAAGGCAGTCTGCCTAAAATGAACACTTTATTACACAGCCTTCTTGTTTCTGGCACAACACGGATTTATTAAGGCAAGTCTTCCATTTGTTCTGAATTACCATCGAGCTAAGCTGGGTATGTATATGTGGAAGGACAATGACATGAGACTCGAGGTATTGACTGCCGTGTCATCAAAACACGCAGGACGCAGCTGTGACCGCAGGCTGATGTCTAAGACCTCCGAGCCTGACCGGTGTGCACAACGCCGCTGTCACCGGTTAGAGCCTGGGCACCCATCTTTAGAGCGACTGGGATGGCTACCTGCCCTTGCAGCACTCCTCAGCCCGAATAAGAAGAGCTTTCCACACTTAAACTCACTGGAAGTTACGCCTGGGGTTCCCCATCCCAAGCGGTGGGAAGCGCTCCAACCTAAGCGAACCCTCCCCCCGGCTCTGCCCCTCCAGAAGGACTCTTCTCCCTGTTCTGAACCAAAGGCTGATCCGAGGAGCCGCGGGAGGCACCCTGCCCGGGGAGGCGCACAGGCGGCCGGCAGGGCAGACCCCGGGGCAGGGAGAGGCAGTCAGGCGCCAGGAGGAGTCGGAGAGGGGAGCAGGGGACTGCGGGCGCCGCCGCCGCCCTTACCTCGCCGCCGCGGCCCGAGCGCGGCCGCCTCTCGGCCGACATGGCGGGGCCCGGCCCCGCCGCCGCCCCGGCCCCGCGCACGGCGCGCAGCGATGACGCCACGGCGCGGGCGGGGCGCGCGCGTGACGCCCGAGCAATGTGGGGAGGGGCGGCGCGGGAAGGGTCCGTGCTGCGGATCCTGTGCCAGGGGGATGGAGGGCGGGGAGTGCGGGATCCTGTGCCACGGGGATGGAGGGCGGGGAGTGCGGGATCCTGTGCCACGGGGATGGAGGGCGGGGAGTGCGGGATCCTGTGCCACGGGGATGGAGGGCGGGGAGTGCGGGATCCTGTGCCACAGGGATGGAGGGCAGGGAACGCAGGCAGCCACGCGCCTGGGACCCTCCAAAGACACCAGCCCGAGAAGAGCACGGCTTAGGCAGAGCTCAGCAGGATTCTTAGTGAAGGTGTGACCCGGCCTGGTTCAGTCCACCACTGAGACAGACAGCTCAGGCAGCTTTTAGAGGAAGGCCTACAAGGGTCCTTTTCCTCACCAGACTTTTCATGTTACTTACCTCTGTCTCCACAACAAACACACATGACACAGGGACAGCACATGCTTTGTCACTTAAGCCACACGCAGATGGATCCTGCTGTCGCTGGCCTTCCAAATCCTACACAGCTGTAATGCTAACTTCATGTTGGAAGTGAACCCCTGGTACTGAGAGTTACTGAAACACAATATACTGAAGTACCTTTTTAAAAAAAAATAATAAAAATCTGAATGTATGGCTGCTGTTACAGGGTCCCAAGACTTCACAGTGACAACTTCACTGCAAGACAGGAAGTGCAGGCTAGAACCCTAGAGTAAAAGCTTGTGATAGAAAGTTAACTGGTACTAGCAGAGTTAACCGAGCAAGCATAAAGACATCTCTATGCAATATTAAGAAGTACACAACACAGAGTTTATACCAAGTAATCAGGGATAGGATCACCAAGTTACTGTTTTCCAAAGTAGGTACTCATAAAATGTTAAACAACAAATACTTGTTTTGACAGTAAATTAGAACTCCAGGCATTGAGGCTTTATAAGAACACAAAAAGTTTATTTCTTAAGCCTATTTCCTCCTAAACAGAAGAACTAATAGATTTGAATATACTAGGATACAGCAGAAAAGATGAGTGCAAAAGTCACTGAACACAGATAACAAGATCATCTAACCAGAATGTGCAACACAAACACGAATGCAATTTAATTCAGAGAGGCACTTACATTGACAGTAAAGATAAAGCCATCCGCTCTTTTAAAATTATAGCAGCCTACTTGAAATTTCACTTGACTGAGCTTTGTTGCTGTGAATAATACAGCTCATGCACAGGTTTGGATGTATGTTTTGTAAATTTAAAGTATTCACTGAATACTGCCAACATATATACACTCATATACATAGTTCCAGAAGGTTGAAGAGGCGATGACTTATTTCTGCTCTGCCTTTTGAAGAGGTCTCCTGAAGAGCAGAATATGTGGCTCTGCGGAAAGAAAATTGAAAGCATCAGTCTGTCCCTCAAGTCTTGTTTGAAGGGATTTCTTTCATTTTGGAAGTTTGGGATGATAGTTGAAGCTCGCTATCAGATAAGCAGATCATCAAGAAGTCCAAGTATGGCTCCACATGTAATATTAACAGACCAACTTTGCAGTAACCGTGTAACAGTCAAACACGTGTTTTTTACTTTTACACCAAATGGTACCTATATCATAAACTTAAGATACTTACAGGAAGGAAGTATTGGAAAAAATAGTACTTTTAGTTAGTACCAACTGTCTCTTTACATTAGGCTATTTGATGAACTCTTACTGAAAACTTAGACTAGCAAACTAGGTAAACTGTCTGTTAGGTACATCATGTCAAGCATCAAAAAAATCCGCTTTAGTTAATACAGCCAGCTTACATTATTATTGATCTGACTTATACCTAAACACCTCCAGAAAAGTCTAAAGTATCAAAGGTAACAAGGTAAGGGAAACACTGGAAGGTTACACTAATTTCTTCACCTGATTCTTCAGAAACTTGGAACTCCAGTTGCTGCTGCAGTTCATGTATCACCTGTTACTTTTTAGTCAGGCTTGTCAATGGTAAGTTACCTAAAAAGGCTCTTCTCACAGTACATCCTCATTCGTAGACTCTGGGGCTTCACACTCCATTATATAAAATACTGATTTTTAAGTAGACGCTATAGCTAGAGTTCAAACTGTACTGCAGATTTTTCAGAGCACTAACACAGGACCTTACCTACATGAGCATTAAGGTTACGTTGCCTTTGTTGACAAAGGGCTAAAATAGCAAGTAGATAAGCAGGAGTCTAAACATTCGGTATTTAATTCCAGCTGGATTCCACAGCAGAACAAGTTATGCATTACACACTTCAGCTAAGCACCAGGCTGTTAATGTTTTAGACACCTTTTTTTTCCACCTAATTCTTTCAGATGTGCTTACCTGGCTCATGGATCATATAGTGAACCCAGCCAAGACTCTGCTGAACACCAAGACGTCTCCACTCTTCTTCAGACATCAGATGAGATTTTGGCACTTGTTTTGAAAGTTCTCGTGGCAGCATCACGTGTCTGTACAAATTCAATTATTAAACACACAACACTAGAAAACTTGAACAGCTCTGCAGCAAAAGATAGCAAGCAAGTAATGAATAATTACTTTCTCTATAAAAAAGCCTAGGGTATATGACTGTTACCACGAATCTGATTATGAAATCTGTCTCACAATCGAGTTTAAAATCACTTATGCCTATTAAACATTACATCTGTAATGCAATTACATATTGGAAGCCAACCTGCATTCTAGAGGAGATTAATTCTTCTTCACGCTCCAGTCACGCTGCATTTATATAAGTATGCGTTCCTGGCAAGTGGCTGCCGTATCTGCTGCTCGAAAAAATAAGGACTTTGGACTTCTAAAATATTTGTAATACCGCTTTAAAGTAAGCCTAAAAGAGTTACAACTCCAGCAGCAGCCCCATCAGCAGAGGCCAGCGCAGCCCCATCCCAGGCTCTGCCACAACCCTCCCCCTGTGGTGGCGGCGCTCCGCGCCCTCCATCGCTCTGCGGCCAGGGGTCAGCGATCGGGGCCAGCCGACAGCAGCATTCAGTCACCCGCCCCCCATTCCCCAGCCGGCCCAAAGCCACGCGAAAGCCCAGCACGGAGAGGCTCGGCTCGACACGGCCCTGCTCGCCGGTCCTGCGCCCACTCTGGCCCCGCTCCACCCGTTCCCTGAAGGCAACGGGCACGCGTCGGGAGAGGCGCCTGCCCGAGCCACCCTCCCCCGGAACGGCTCTTCCGAATCCCTCCAGCGGGCCCTCCCGCAGTCTCTTACCGGTACTCGTATTCCTCGTCACAGTATTTATCGGAATAGTAGATCTGCTTGTGGGCCATGGCGGCAGGAGCGGCAGCAGCAGGAACCCCTCTCTTTCTCCTTACGCCTCAGGGACGCCTCGCGCACTAACCGCCCGCTTCCGCGCCTCGCGCCATTTGAATCCGGCGGCTCGGCTCCCATTGGCTCTTGCCGGGGCCGGCCAATCGCGTGCCGCGCCCGCCGCACCGCGTGACCCGCGCGCTCGCCTCCCGCAGCCAGTCCGCCGAGGCCGCGGCGGTTGCGTCACGGGGCGGAGGGCGCGGGGGGCGGGGCGGGGAGGGCGCGGGCGCGCCATGATTGGCCAGCGGCTGCCGGGGCGGGGCGGGGCGGGGCGCGCGCGCCCTTCCAGCGCTTTCCAGCACGCGGGGGAGCGCAGGGGGGCAAGTTGTGGCGTCCCGCGCATGCGCGGCTCGTGTGGCGTGGGGGTCCTGCCGGCCCCGTCGCGGGTTCCCGCGGGGCAGAGACCTCTCCGTGCGGCTCCGTGTGAAGCGCGGTGCCCTGCTTGCGCCGTGGCTGCCGTGAGCCCGCTCTGCCTTGGGCTGTCGCGCTTCGCGTGCTGCGGTCGCTCGCGGTGCGGACAAACCGACCGTGGGGACGCTCGGGGCAGCGTGGGCACTGCGGGCGGCATTCCCGGCGCACAGGCCGCCTTCCCCAGCGGAACGGCGCAGCGAGCGTTTCCCTTGGGAAAACGTGCCTGGGTTTGATAAGGAGCTCCGTAGCTCCCGCGACGTGTTTATGGGTGGTGTTTATGCCAGCTGGGGTTAGAGAAACTCAGTGGGGACGTGGCCAGGAAGGGCGATTTCGCCCATGAGAACCATAAGGAGTGGGAAGCGACCTTGAAGATCGTCTAGCTCCAACCCCTTGCCGTGGGCAGGAACACCCCCCACGAGGTCAGGTTGCCCAGAGCCCCGTCCAACCTTGGCCTTGTGCGCTGCCAGGGATGGGGCATCCACAACCTCCCTGTTCCGGTGCCTCACTACCCGCACAGCAAAGAAATTTTCCCTGATAGCTAACCTAAATGTGCTCTTACACTCCATGTACCCTGGCTGCAGGGTGCTGCTCTCTTGTGGGCCTCTACAGGAAAAGGAGACTAGTTTTTTTAAGTTTCTGCTTTCATGGTGCTGCCAGAAACACAGGTACTGCCTGTGATAATGTCTGATAGCTATCTGTCTGATAGCTGTTCTGATGGAGAAGAAAACAACCAAGGCCGTGTGAGGCATGGCATGCGTAGGTGATAGGGATGATTTTCTTAGCATCATTGTTTCAATTGGCACTGCAGCCTGTCTTAATAAAGTTTAGGCCAGTCTCACACCTTACAGCCACTAAAAGGAGTGCTTATCATAATGTAGCAGTAATATTTTTCTCTTATATTAGGGCTTGTTGGCGCAGGTCATCTACAGGTAAAATGAAGTCAGTGTTTTCAAACTGCTATAGTTAAACGTGTGAAATTCATTCAGCAAAGGTCCTCAGCAGGAGTGTCAATTCCAGTATAATTGTAAAAGTACAAACCACCTGCAAGTTTTCAAAAGTATTGATTGGATTATTCAAAACAGAAGGGTTTGGGGGTTTTTTAGCTTAATTTCAGACATCACAACTGATTTTTTTTAACTACTTGAGGCAGAGCATACACAATAATTTCTGTTAGGAATGTCATTGTGTAATAATGGGGTGGGGAAGAATAACTCGTCATGACAAAGGGGTTTGCTGGATTGGAAGACATTTCATTTCTGTGCCTTCTTTCTGAGCTTTCTGCTTGTCTCATGCATATTCCACATGAGGAAAAAATGACCTTTAAATAAGGCTATCTGTAAGCCTCCCTCCTATGAATTCGTTCAGAAGTGAAGGTCTGGCATCCCTTTAAAGCAACTTTTTCTTCTATTACTAATACTCATAATGATACCTGATCATAATTTTAAAGAGGATTAAAAGGATTCTTAGGTAGATATGTGTTCAATCTTATTTGAGATCCCTCTGATTAATTTGAAAGTCCTTGTTAGTCAGGACTGACCCAAATGTGTTTGTAAGGCAACTGGCAGAGCTGACAAAACTAACATATTGGTTTTAATAATCCAGGATTAGGAGATCTTATTTCGTATCCAAGTGTCATTTTAGCTTCTTCTTTCTTCAGTTCTTTTCCCAGACAGGACTTAAAAGCATTGGTGAATGATAAATAATGCAACAGTACCAGGAACTTGTTAAGTTACACTATTAATTTGCTATCTTTTTTTCCTAAAATGAAAACATTAGTGTTAGGGGTATAATTTGTGAAGTTACTGGAAAAAAGTAATAAACTTGCTAAGTGGCTAAACTTGTTAAACAGTTAAGCTTGACAATCATTTCCAGGCACATGAACAGTAAGGAAAGCATCAGGAGTAGTCAGTATGGATTCATCGTGACATCTTGACCAACCTGATAAACTTGTGTGATGAAATGGTCCGGCAAAGCCAGGGGGAGAGCAGTCATTATTGTTTGCCTAGGCCTCAGTAAGGCTTTTGACTCCAGTAATACCTTCCTAGAGAAGCAGTTGATGCATGGGGTGGATGTGCAGGCAGTGCAGTGAATGGCTTGTCCCAGAGCGTGGTGATACATGGCACAAAGTCTAGTGAAGGGCCAGTAATTAGAGGTGTGTCCTAAGGGTCAGTCCTGGGCCTGAGCCTTTCCAGCATCTTGGTTAGTGACCTGTGCAATGGGGCACAGTGTCCCACCAGCAAGGTGACACCTTGGAACTGAATAACCAGTAACCAAGTAACACCAAGTAACTGAGGAACCAGAGGGTTGTGCTGCTGGGTGGATGAACTGCAGAAATGTGCTGAGAAAAAACCTCATGAAGTTGAAGAAGGGGAAGTGCAAAGTCCTGCACCTGGGGAGGAACAATCACAGGCCCTGGTACATGGTGGGAAACACCCAGCTGGAGATGAGTTTTCAGAAAAGGCCCTGGGAGTTTCCTGGACACTGAGTTGGATGTAAACCAGCACTGTGTCCTTGAAGCAAGGAAAACTGAGTGCCCTGGGCTGCATTAGGACAAGTGTTGCCAGCAGACTGAGGAAGGTGATCCTACCCCTCCATTCAGCACAAGTGAGGCTGCTGCTGGAGCACCGTGCCCAGCTCTGGGCTCTCCAGTGCAGGAGGAAGTTGATGCTGCTGGAAAGAGTCCAATGAAGGGCTAAAAAGATGAAAACGTGAAGGCAGTGTGAAAAGAAGACCAGAACCAGGCTTAATCCAGTTGTGCCCAGCGACAGGTCTAGAGGCAGTGGGCACAAGCTGAAACATGGGATGTTCTTTGTGAACATCAGGAAGCCTTTTTTACTCTGAGGGTGATGGGGCACTGGCAGAGGTTACCCGGAGAGCTGCTGCAGTCTCCATCCTTGGACATCTTCCAAAGCCATCTGGACACAATCCTGGGCAATGGGCCCTAGGTGGCCCTGCTTGATCAGAGATGTTAAACCAGATGACCTCCATAGGTCCACCCTCAGCCACACTGTATGGTACTGTGTGAAACAGGGCTCTTCAGCATTTTCTTCAGAATACTGTTGCACACAAAGGCTGTGTCAGTTATACTACAAAGAAGGGAACAAACTGTTCTGTAACTAGTGTGGAGGGAACAAAAATGCTTGAACTTTAGCAAGGCAGCTTTGTGCTGGACCTTAGGAAACATTTCCTAGCAGTACCTAATTTAATTGTCTAGAACATTTTAGAAAAAAATACATCCTGCAGGAATATTTTAGGTACAACTGATCCTGTCTGTGATCAGTTGTTTCTTTGGGGCCTGCTTTCTGTGGTTGTGTCAGTTATGCTTTCCCATTGTAACGTTTGCTGATATTGACTATAGAACAAAAGTAATTTTTTTTCCTCTCCAATGCTCTAGAATGATGTTTTAATTTTAATTGTGATACATTTTCCTGTTTAAAAAAGTTAGTTTCTGAAATTGGGATTGTTACGTGGTGAATCGACATCCTGACTGAAGATTCTGAACCAGGTCAGGAGTGAACGAAACCACAAATACCTATATTTATTAAAGAGAAAAGCTGCTGACAAGCTCCTACCATACAATCATCCCTCAGCATGTCGAAGGCGTGTATCGAAGCATATTTCAAAGTTTGCCACAGAGCAGACTGGAAAGGATTCTGCATAGCCTTAGGGGCATAGGTCTGTTAGAAGAAACGTGAGACAGCTGCTCAACTGGAATATAAACTCCTGCTTAGAGCCCTGATTAGGGGAGTTTTAGTCTGATTAGGGCAGTTGCTGTGATTCAGTTGCTGCTGAAACACAAGATAAAGTGGCAAAACCCAAGATAAAATGGCAAAACACAGGGAGAATATTGTTGCGCTTCTGTCCCTGTCTCCTGTTGCCGTTAACGGGCATGTGTAATTTTGAGCATCAATATTCTGCACTCCGTTAGAGAACAGCATGACTGTAGTCAGCATAGAGGATCTTTAGGACTAAAGATGACCTATGGACATTACTGGGGGGGATGATCTCATGTACCTAGACAGAAGCAGACCTAAATCCTCTGTATAACCTGTTACTTGTGACCAAGGCCATCCACAGAGGTATATGGGCCATGATAAATAAAAATCTGTTACAATGAAGGGCCCATGTGCACCTTACTGTTACATATACAGAGTTCAAGATGTAGGTTGTGGTAGATGAAAATATTTTCTGTGCTTTTTGTCAGAAGGGGAAGATGCAAGTTTTCCCATCTGTGTTGTACATAGCAGTCTCTGACTGACATTTTCTGCAGATTTTTCTGGTTAGTTCTATTAGACATTTGGAAAAAAAAAATAAGTTATATGTACTTTTACTGTGCTTCAGTTTTCAAACATGTCCTTGTAAAACACTAACGTCAGATGCTTGAATGTATTTTTCTGAATAGAACAGCAAGATCAGAGTCAAGGAACCTTTTGTACTGTCTTCATGAGTCATAGTCATATATACAGTTAATAACTTGTGAATAATCTGAGCATGAATCACATTCGTAGCATATATTGATGAACCATTATCTATGTTTTTATATTTTCAATGTTTCTTAAACAAGGCTTAAACATGCAAGGCTTAAATAATCATACTCTTCATCAGTTTTGATCCTTAATTTTGAACCTGCTGGCTGGTTTGGTCAAACTTAACAGAAATGTTGATAAATTATTGTAGATTTCATGATAACAGGTTGGATGGATAGAGCAGAAGGACTCTGATGGAGGATAATGTTACAGTTAAACTTATGCCTCACTAGGCAGAGAATCTACATGGGAAAGAAAGCTTTGCATAAATGCTTCAGTGGTAAATATCCTTCAGCCTTTGGTGCATATGCCTTCTGGGGTAGTAAAGCCACAAACACATTGAGTCAGTAGAAAATTGGTCTCGCTTTGTTCTTATTTCAGTGAGATTACTTTCTGTTTGCTGATTTGATTTGCTGGTGTTGTGTGGTCTTTACCTAGTATTCCACAACACTAGTAGCCCTCAAAGCACCCTCAGGCTACTTGTATGTGTAATATTAACAGTATTCGTCTCTGCAGGCTTGATCTTCAGAATTAGTTTGCCTCAATTCAGATACTTAAATTTGAATTTACTGCTTTACTTCATTTGAAAGACTTTATAATAAGCATTGAGTTATTCGTGTGCTAATTAACATCCCCTCAGTAAATGCAGAAGATGGATTATTTTTGTCTTGTTTTTCAGTTCACACAAAAATGTGAACCAGCTCCTGGAGAGACTAAAGAATGACGCTATGTTTTGATGGTTTAGCTGTCTGAGAATAATCCAATGTAAGTGTTGAAAATAATCTAGCTGAATTGCTGAGGATTTTCCTCTGAGAGAAGATAAACTTGAAAAATAGACCCAATTATGATACATGCTCCTACCAGCACCCATGCTGGTTCAAGAACAGCATTTTAAAAGGTGTTCTTGAATAAATTCTTGAATAAATTATTCCCAAGTCATAGCTTGCAGGATGAGTTTAGAAGTGCAGACTGTGTGCAATTCATTCAGATCCTTGCAGAGCTTGGAGGCTGGTGTTGATCAGTGTAATTTCATTGAGATTTAATTGTCTTACTCTGTTTCTAGGGATCTTCTTGTGGAAGTAATCATCAGAACCTAGTCAAAAGACTACAGCTCAGATCTGAAAAGTGACACTGATGAGCCTGGGGGTGACACGCCAGTGTTGGGGGTGAAATAATATCCCAGCTGAAGTGCATCTGCACCAGTGCACACAGCATGAGTAACAGACAGGAGGAGCTGGAAGCTGTGACATAGATGTCATCATGGAAACATGGTGAGATGACTCTCATGACTGGAGAGCTGCAGTGGATGGTTACAAACTCTTCAGAAGGGCCAGGCGAGGAAGGAGAGGGGGTGGGATGGCTCTGTACCCTGGATGGTGTTCCGACTGTGCAGAGCTCCAGGGCAGTGGTGATGAGGCTGAGTGCCTGTGGGTGAGGACTGGGGGGAAGATAACGAGGCAGACATCCTGGTGGGAGACCATCCATCTGCTGTAGCGCTCCCAACCAGGATGAAGAGGCAGATGAAGTATTTTATAAGTGTCTGGCTGACCTTTCATGATTACCAGCCCTTGTTCTTGTGGGAGACTTTAACCTGCCAGACGTCTGCTGGAAACTCAGCACAGTGGACCAGAGGCAGTCGAGTGAGTTCATGGAGCATGTGGAAGATAACTTCCTGACACAGCTGGTAAGTGAGCCTGCAAGAGGGGCTGCCCTGCTAGACTTGCTGTTTAAGAACAGAGAAGGGCTGGTGGGAAATGTGGTGGTCTTGGGCACAGTGACCACGAAATGATATTTTCAGTTCTTGGTGAAGTAAGGAAGGGAGTCAATAAAACCTGTACCTTGGGCTTCCAGAGGGTGGACTTCAGCCTGTTCAGGACACTAGTTCAGAGAGTACCTTGGCAAACAGTCCTTAATAACAAAGGGGTCCAGGAAGGCTGGACACATTTTAAGAAGGAAATCTTAAAGGCTCAGGATCAGGCTATCCATATTTGCCTAAAGACAAGCTGGCAGGGAAGACTACTGGCCTGACTGAAGAGGGAGCTTTCACTGGAACTCATGGAATAAAAGAGATTTTATGACCTTTGGAAGAAGGGGGAGACAACTCAGCAAAAGTACAAGGATGTTGTTAGGTCTGTCAGCCTGACCTTGGTGCCTGGGAAAGTTGTGGAACAGACCATCTTGAGTGCAGTCACACGGCACATACAGGACAACTGGGGATCAGGCCCAGCCAGCATGGGTTTAGGAAAGGAAGGTCCTGGTTGACCAACCTGATCTCTTTTTATGACCAGGTGACCTGCTTAGTGGATGAGGGAAAGAGGATGTTGTCTACCCGGACTTTGATCAAAGAGGATGTTTTCTGCCTTTACTTTTATCAAAGTAAAGCCTTTGGTACTGTCTCCCACATCATTTTCCTGCACTTGTGTCACAACAACCCCAGACTGCACAGCATCTTGGGGAGGCGTTGTAGGAAAGCAGCTGGAAGAGGACCTGGGGCTGCTGGTGAACAGCCAGCTGAACCTGAGCCAGCAGTGTGCTCAGGTGGCCAAGAAGGCCAATGGATCCTGGCTTGTGTCAGCAATAGTGTGGCCAACAGGTCCAGGGCAGTGATTGTCCCCTGCACTTGGCACTGGTGAGGCCACCCCTGGAGTGCTGTGTCCAGTTCTGGGCCCTCAGCTCAGGAAGGACATTGAGGGGCTGGAGCAGGTCCAGAGAAGGGTAATGGAGCTGGTGAGGGGTCTGGAGAATAAGTCCTGTGAGGAGCAGCTGAGGGAGCTGAGGTTGTTTAGCTTGAAGAAAAGGAGGCTCAGGGGAGACCTTTATTGCTCTCTACAACCACCTGAAAGGAGGTTGTAGCCAGGTGGGGCATTGGCCTTTTCTCCCGGGCAGATAGTGACAGGACAAGAGGAAATGGCCTCAAGCTGAGCCAGGGGATATTCAAACTGGACATCAGGAAGAATTTCCTTACCTAAAGGATTGTCAAGTGTTGGAATGGACTGCTCAGGGAGGTGGTGGAGTCACCAGTCCTGGAGGCGTTTGAGAAATGATTGGACATGGCACTTAGTGCTGTGGTTTAGTTGACAAGGTCAACTTCAGTGGAAGGTTGGGCTTGATGGTCTTGGAGGTCTTTTCCAGCCTTGATGAATGGAAAATGACTCTATTCCCATGTTAAACAAAATCAATAATGCTGAATTTAGCAGATGATTTCCATAGCAACCAATGCTCATATAACAAATTCAGGATGATACTGTATAATGACTGGAGAATCAAGCAGAAGAAGATGCTGTCAAATGAGGCACAGCTCTCCTCAGATTTTTCCTGTAGGCTGTGCAATATGACGCTGTCTTAAAGTGGATCAAGGACAAAAAAACCTGTAGCTCAATCTCAGAGTTCTTCATTTACTGGATATTTTTGACACAATGTTTAAATAGTTTGAGTAAGGGCTCTATTTAAACTTTGAAATGTCAGGCTAGACCTGAGAAAAGATCCTTTTATCCAAACTTATCCCTGTGGCTTCTCTAATGGATACCTTCCAGAATTAAATTGTGTAAGAATCAGAAAAGCATGTGATGACATGTTCCCATCTTAGTCTTGATTCTGGGCCTACTGATGAGGGATTTCTTTACAAATAATAGGCCATGTGAATTTCTGTTTCATGAATCTTCAGGTCATCTTTGGGCCAAACATTTTTTCTCCACTGTGTGAGGGTTAGCAGCGGGTCTGTCAGCTCTCTGGGAGAAGATACTGACTGGGGAAACTTGCGAGTATATCCTCGAGATAAGAAAACTATGTACGCAGCCCTAACAAAAGAAAAGACAGACTGTGGAGTGCTTAGATTCAGTCCTGTGGGAACCCCAATATAGCCTTGAGCCTTGCCAAATACATCAGCAATAAATAATAGCGAATTGAAACACTGTTGCTTGCTTACCTAAGAATAAGTTGCTGCTTGCTACTAATAAGGGATATAAAAAGGCACATGGGAAAAATAAAGAGACTTGTATTTTGCTCTGAACTTGACCGTTAGTGTATTTTTTACTGACTGCCACAACAACACCACTGTATCTTGTTACAAGGAGTTCTCTGGCTAAACAAGTTCCCTTATGAGAAGCAACATCTTTTGTTTATGTTAAATCTGCCACGTGCTGGGTTTTGTGTTGAAAGAGCCTTTGTATATTTATTCATTGTCCCTGATATTTGTAGTTTCCAGAGGTAGGATTTATATACTACAGGTTTATAGGCTAAGATTTTGATTTTGAGTCCAATGAATTGAAATTTTCCCCTCCTCTTACATGAACATTCCTCGTTAACTTCTGTGAAGTAACTCAAACGTTTAAGATGTATCACAAATTTTGAACATACACAGGAGTGAAAGAAAATGTATGTGAGCTGAAAATACATCTGTTTGAGAGTATTAAAAAGGTTGCTCAAAGTGTTGTTTAATTAAAGTAGTAGAAGATGACTGAATTCAAATGAAATCAAACAGAATCCAAATAAGCCACATACCCAGAAATATTTTTTTCTTAAGGTTATTTTGACAATTTAAGGTTTAAAGTAGCCACTGGAGGGCTCACTGATCTCATGTTAAATGACAAGCTTGTCTTTGAAAGTCAGTACTTCTGGGTTTTGGTTAAGGCAGTATTAATTGCTGTGCTCCCCATTTGAAGAAGACTGGATGATAACAGAATTTTTTAAGGTAATGGGCAGAGAACAATTACATTTTTGTGTCAAAGAATAACAGCTTTGTGACTATTACCCATGTCACAGTGTGGGAACATTTACAAATGTTTGGAAGGTAGGTGGATCTAAATGTTATAAAATAAGCATAAAGGACCAGAGTTCCCACCCCCTTACAATAAAAAATGTAAAAAACTCTTCCTGTCAGACAGAAGGGTTTCCCCATTTTGAGGAGCCACCTACACAGGGCAGATTTTCCTTTCCCTCCTCTGTTTTGTGTGTGACACCAAAGCTTCAGTGACGAGTCAGGCCCAGGGCTGTGGTCTTTTTGGATCACTGGTAGAACTGGGATGAAATGCAACACGTGATTGATGTGGGTTTCTCCTGGCATTTTGAATCAAGTCTTTATTTCACTGGAGTTAAACAGAACTTAGTTTTCAGAAACTTTGGGAACAATGAATTCTGCTTACATATTCCAGTATTTTTGTATTTTCCCCAGGCTGAATTTTTCTTTTGCCCTTTTGTTTTTTAGGGATCTTTCTTGGATGTGTCGATTATTGTCCTACTCCTGATTCAGTGAATGCAGCTAGATGGTTTATGTTTAGTATGAACATGTTCCTTAAGTTCACAGGAGTATTTACCACTCTTCTGTGGGATAAACTTGTGCTGAACAAAATACACAGCTCCTGAAGTGATTTTACCAGGCAAATATATCCAGATATTTTGCCAAAATATCATTCTTTTTCTTTGTGTTCCTGTAAGAATGTGTTATCCCAGAACTTCACTAGTCTGTTGCTTTACTTTATGGAAACTCCCTTGATTTGTTTTTGTCCAGTGCTCATTTTCAGCTCTGCCTGTTTCAAAATATTTCCCTTGCACTGAATAGCTATTTGAATTCTTTCCCACGATTTTGAATCCTGCATTTTGCAAGCTAATTTTTTTTTAATTCCCTCCATATATGTCTCAACTTTGAGTGTTTGTGGTGACTCCCTTAGTCTTTATTTTAGATACTAGAAAATCATCTGTTGCAAGAGATACACAGAACTTTGAATCTCTCTTGACAGACAACTTCATTCACAATTAAGTATAAATATTTTTATTTTCTTAGTGTTCAACCCGTCTTTCTAATTATCAGCTTTTTCATCATTCATGTAAAGACAAATATCCACCACTTAAACTGTTCCATTATACCTTATCATGCAGTATCTGTACAGAAAATAATTTAATAGGTATAACATAGATGGGAAGAGGATTCTACCTGGAAATGCATTTTGTTGGAGTCTTTCTTACTGCTCAGACTAAAAGCACTCATCAAATCTATTTCATTTAGGACATTTGTTCGTGGGGCCATGCTGCTAATCTGGTACAAAAAGAGCCTTCTTCAGGTAACTTTGCTACTAAATATTGGAAATGTGCTCACATTGAGATGTTGTCCTGTTTTGCCAGCAGTATCCCTTTATCTAAAGAAAGGGGATTGCCTCTGCCCTAAACTTTTCCAGTTAGAAGATCATAGAGAATGTGCCTTTTAGTAGTTTTCCTAAGAATATCCTTGACTGAAGTCTGCCTTGGTCATACTTGAATCTTACATCATTACATGCATGTATTTACAGGCTTACCTTAAAAAAAGAGAAAAAAGTAGTTCAGCAAATTCACAGAAGAGAAACACTGGCAAACTGATTCATCTTGTTTTACAGGTATTAAAACTTAATGCCTTTTCTTTTTTTTAGCAGAATATCAGCAGTGTTGTCATGGATACTGAATCAGGTCCTGTTTTGCCATCTTGCAGATGTGCTAAAAATGGGTTTTTTCCTTCCCACCTGTTAACCATTCATATGGACTTGATTGGAGGGTCCACTGAAATCAGTGAAAAGTCTTTAGTCATCTCAGCAGATTTTGGACTAGGATGTAAGTGAACAATAGAATGTCAGCAAATATTCTGTTTCATAATAGTTTTCAGGTATTTTGTACATCTTATTGCACTGTTGAAAATCCGATGCATGCTGTGAGCTTACT